GTATGGCGCGCACTAAGTGCAATAAAGAGTGAGTAACCCAAAATTAGGGCCTGGAACCCAGGCTATGGGTAAGTGTAAACCACTACAAATCGAAATAATCGTAATTTTTACATGATTTTTTTTTATTTGTTATATTAAAAATCATTTTTTGGATTCAATATAAAATATATTTGGATTTATATTTTTAATATTCTTTAAAAAGTATAAAATGGTATAACTTAAGCTTGGTTTCCATAAAATTTCTACACTACGACATTGACTACATTATTTTGAAACGGACTGCTGTCTTCCCTTTCTAGACATATTGCCAATTACACCTAAGCCCTTTTCAGACAGGGCTGCAATACTACACTGTTGTGGTAACCATAGGTTTCTGTCTGAAAGGGTCGATACGCCAATATGCCGGCTTACTTTAGACCACCTCGCACCCTAGTAATATTACCGCAATTTTGCAGTAATGGGTTCTGGCTTGCTCTGTCTGAAAGGGTCAACTCAATATTGCAGCAATAAGCTGGCATGTGCATTTATGCATAAACAAACAAGGTTTAAAGTTGAAAACAATTGCGTGCGGTGGTATTTAGTATTTTCATTTCTATTCGCGGGTTGTCAAAAATAAAGCTCCCATTTTTGTTGCCATGGTGAAAACTATTGTACTGTATACCAGTTCTCTGTTTGTCTCTGTTAGACTCTGCTGTACGGACATCTTATTACAAATACTTTCACCCTAAGGAAGCATTGATATCCAATGGTGTTTTGAACCGAGCATTCAGCATAGCAGCAGGAAAGACATTACCCAACATGTCCGAAGAGGACTCATCTGCACATGCTCAGTAAGTCTACCAATGTTCTAGTACGTTGCAATTCAATGTGTGTCCAGGTGGGCAAAGTTGATCCCTAGAATGCCAGAAATTTGAGTAAACAAGAGGAAAGAAAAGAGTGAAGAAATTTGAGTACAGTAATAGGAAAGGTACAAGGCAACTTGCACATCTTGTTAAGAAGTAAACTAACTTGATATCAATACATTAATTATTTTTATAATGATCACTGACATAAATTGCCATTCATATATATATTTTAATTAACTCATCTGCACCAGTAGCATTGCCTCAGATTTACAGGTGCACAAATTTGTTAATTTGGTAATCACTAAGTTTTCCTTTACTCTCAGAGCACTGACCTATTTGTATCCATACGGAGCAACTCTTAATGTAGACAAATCAGCAATAGCAGTCCTCTCTACCGGAAGTGTTTGTTTTCCTCTCAACAGACCAACCTGTGCATTACACTCATCAAAGGTAGGCAAAAAAATGACTGCCTGTTTGACTAGCATAGATTTTTTGTAAACAATTTTTGTTTTAGTCTAGTTTATTATTGTTTATGTGTGTTTTGGCAAAAATTGTGTGATTGATAACTTGATGGAGCTTGTCTTTAAATTTGAGGTGTACTAATTCGAAGGATTAATTTAGGTTATTCACTTCACAGTTTCCAGATAAAACCAGGAGTTATGTGACTGTAAATATTTTTCAATTAACACCTCGAATGATATTCCTTCAGTATTCTAAAGGTAAAGTTGCAGTGCTTGGGTCAGTGCACATGTTTCAAGATCA